TCAAAATAAACATACCCAACTCATGGTAAATTAACAAATATATATTAAAAATACCAAAACATTCAGAGTATAAAGATTACATTCAATCTCTAGAGTTCTAGCCGTTCATGACATACAAAACAACAAGAAAATACATAGGGAAGAGAAAGAAATTAGTTCCCCAATGATTCTTGATCACTTTCCCAAGCTCCTTCATTGCTCTACAATGCCAAGTTAGGTCAATGTGTACTGGGGCTTCAAAGCCCACTCACGGCTCCCCATTTTCGAGTTGAATCTTCTATTTTGTAAGGTAATAAGTGAATTCTTGTTCAAGCGAAATCTAAGTTAAGAGCAAGGTCTGCTGCACGATTTTTTTTTCCATCTATATCATAGACAGATTTATAGACTAATTTTTTAATCTGTAATTTGAAACTAAGACAGAAAATATTAGGCACAAATTACATACGGTAAAATCCGTCTATAACTGCATAAATGAAACACAGTATTTCATGAATGGAGTTATAGATGAATTTTTCTGTCTATAAGTCAATTAATAAAACGCTATGTATAAAAGCGCTCTCCTTCTTCTTCTTTCTCATTTTTATATTTTCTTCTCTCTCTGATCTCTCTCTAGCATATTCGCTTCCCTACACATTGCTACTAGTTTGAGCCTCCATTTTACAAACAAATTATGTCATTGTGTTTCTGGTATTATACTATAGCTTTTAATCGATTTTTTTTCTATTTTTGGTGTAGGATATATACTTATTTGTTATAAATTATTCATTACAGATAGATCACATGAAAGAATGTGTCAATTTTGAACGTCTTGCGATTCAGAACAAGGTTGAAATCCACGGTGGACTTAGCAATAATGTGAGAAAAATATAGTGTTTGAGAATGGAAAGTATTGTTTTGAAGAAATGATAAATGAGATGAGAAAAATGATAGAAGATGCGTTTGATGAGGTGATATAAAAATTATAAATGAAATAATTGTTATAAATTAATTATAACAGATAGAAAAATTTGTCTATAATTTTACAGATAGCAAAATTTGTCTGTAATAAATATATTTATTATAGATAAAAAAATATGTCTGTAAATTTACAAATGAGTTTACAAATAAAAAAAATCTGTCTATAGATTTATAGACAATTTTTTTCATCTGTATAAATTATGCTAAAATTACAATTAAATTTTATCCATCTATAAATTTGTCTATAACACTAAAATTTATTTATAATCATTTAAAATCTATCAATAAAATTCGTTTATATTTGTAAGTTTTGTGGTAGTGAATTTTCTTTCAAACAGTCTGTGTGATTGTGGGTGATTCTAAAAGTTTTCTCTTCTTCTTCTTTCATTGAAGGGATAAAAATAAAAGCTTTGTAAGTTAGAAAAGTTAGAAATTATTCAAGTAATAACATGATTTAAAATTGTTCATATTTATTAAAAAATAATAATTTTTATTTAAATTTTTGCTATTATTTATTGTTGTTCATGACATTTTGATAAAAATTAAATTGATAGACAACAAAAACTTTTAGAGACAATTTATTCTGTCATGTTATTAATCTTTATACAAATTTATTCTGTCACATAATTAATTTTAAATGTTATTTATCATGAAAGGATAACATTTCAACATTTTATTGATTTTTTAATAGTTAATGACTTTAAAAAATATTTAATAAATAAAAAATAATGTCAGTAATCTCAAAAGATATTTTAAAATTTAAAAAACTGAATTATATCAATTTGTTCATTTAATGATTAGCTTGCTGAATTATATCAATTTGTTCATTTTAATATTTTAAGATATAATTTAGGGCACGATAACTGAGAAAGATCTGCACACAGCCAATAGAAAATATTCCGAGTTGCCGCAATCAACGCTTGCGTGTTCATTGCTTCCTAAAACTACGAGAAGGATAGCTTCAGTCAACTCGTCAGTCGTTTACCCAGCTGCTCTTGGATTTTAAAACTACTGTGTTGACAACAGCTTGACTCTTTCAAAAGAAAAATAAATAAAAAAATTAAACAACTTAACTATTAAAAAAATAAAAAAATTTGTAATTTATTTTACATATACACATAACATTTCTAATTAATTTTTCCTAAAAAATTACTTATTTTCTTTTCTTAAATAAAGAACCCCTTTGGAAAGATAAACTCCATTAACAATAGAAATAATAATAAGTTATATAGGATTTCATTCATACAAAATAAAAACATGAAGGTACATATATACCACTGAATTGAATTGAAATATTTTATAAAATTAATGTATGTTAAACTAAAAGGTATACATAATTAATTTATTATTTATATATTTTTAAAATTTGAAAATAGATATATTTATAAAGGGGAGCATTAAAACTTTGTCGTTGCGTTAGAATTGGTATAGTTTATACCAATTATTAAAATGCATCTTATTGTACAAAATATTTAAAAAGGCATTTTTGAGTAACAAAGATGATGAGTACGGAGATGTACTTTTCTTATTTGTTATAATATAATGTGAGCTTGAAGGAGAACTACTTATATTCAGTAAATCAGGATAGAAATAGAAGTAAAATGCGACTTTACACAAATCATATCTATTAACAGTTTAAATTTGAGTCATTACTTTTGTGAGAGCTTCACCTATATAATCACCTCTCTCAAGATTAATTTAAACTTAATGCATGTACAGATACCATAATTAAAGAATAAAAAAGCATCAACTTGATGACCCCACACATTATTTTGCGATTGATTCAACTTTTACATCCTTAAAAATATAGAATTCTAAAACGAATTTGTAGTTGACAGACGTTGGTTGATAAAACAGAAGGGGATGAAATGAAAGACAAACAGCGTAATTCATAATAATAATAATTCAATTTAAAGAACATGATGTATACGATATCATGAACAGGCCCTAAAAATATAATAGAAGAAATATCAGGTTTAGCAGGTCAAGTGGAACTGTGTGTTATGTCAGATGACTTTGGTTAAGGGTGTCAACAACATGCTACTTAAGAAGGTCTGGGACCAGGCAATAAATGGGCAAGGGTCCATTATAACAAGGTCAACCATAGCGATACCTTGAAGTGTTCTTTGACAAATATATAGGTTTGACCCTGCCGATGTATTTGAAGGTACAATAGCCCTACTAACTAAAATAAACCATGGAAAAGTTCTTGTTTCACGAGCCCTATTTTTGGCCCATTAAGACCCTTCCAATTTTCATATTCCAGGTTATCAAGATCGAGACCCTTTCAACCTTGTTACAAACTCACAGTATAAACTGAAATTACTCCAAACGAAGAAAAGTTTACTTTAAGGCCGTTTTAATTTAATCAATTAATTATTTTAAAATTTATAATATAAATATGGCCTTGACGTTTATTAAAATAAGTTTCCTAAACCCTAAACCCTATTGTCACAATTTTTTCATGCATTTCCAAAATACTCTTTTTATCTTATTTAGATGTCATTTAATATTAATACGTACATATAGTAAAATAATTTTTTTTTATTAAAATAATCTGATAAAAGTGCTAGAATTGTCATAATAGTTAGTTAATAACAAATACTCAGAATATTATTGAAGTTATAGTAATTAATTAGTAAGGACTATTCTTAATAAATAAGAATATTAAAAAATAATTAATACCTTTTGTGACGTGTAATTAAAATGATAAATAGTATATGACAAATAAAAAAATAAAATAACATGAAGAGATGAAGACAAGGAATTGCGATAGACTTTTCTTGTTAGACAATTTGATAACTTGGACCGGCACGGGTAACATACTAGCATGAGTTACCGTCTTACAACGTAGCTGGACAACAGGAAACGACCTAGAAACGTTATGTTAAAAGTTAAAATTATTGACGTGTCTTCACTCAACAATTTAAATTTATGAAATAATTAATTTACAATTTTCATCGCACATATTTCATTCATTTCTGCCAATGCACTCACCAAGTAGTTATTCCAATAGCATGGACATTTAAGGGTCTAGTTTAAATTTTGATTAAATTAAATTTGAAACATAATATTCGACATTATTTTTAGATTTAATATTTTTCATGAGTTTAAAAGAAATAGTTCTATAAATACTTGAGAGATCATTTTGCAAAATATGAACACATTTATAAAAATTGAGTGTCACACTCGAATCAATTCCAAGGGTTAGAAATTTTCATATTTTAAAATCAAACTTACTAAAAATAATTACATTACCACTATAACAAATCAAACACGACCTCTTACCATAGTTACTTATTTTTCTCACCTCCACAAACGCTGTTTGCAATTATCCAAACTATACGACCTAGTATAGTTGCAAAAACCATGGCTCGTTGCAGAAACACAGCGCTGGTTTCTATTTGTAAGTGGGGGAAAAATAACAAGAAAAACTTGACCTCATTAAACAACGCTGGCTTTTCTACTTCACAATTAGATAGATGAGCCATGTTTATGAATTCTCACACCCACCATAGTAGTAATGGGTCCCCATGTGAAGGGCTATGCCGAAAACTTTAATTAGTCTGCCAACCATATGAGTATCAACCTATTGTCAATGCTAGCAAACAACAAAGAAACCTGTTTTGGCACATGAACGACAGTGCCACTCTACCAAACTCAGATCATACCATTCAAACAAGCAGAGCTTTAAGACTAGATCCTGAACTACCCAGTTTTATATCATTCCGTTACTTTCCATAAACTGTATCAGTAGACCAGTTGACTAGATCATATATATATCAAACCTGGCATCATCTCATCTTTGACTAACAATGGCAATTTTATACTTATATTGGAAGCCGTCCAGATCTACAACTCTTTTGAGGAAAGATAAGATGAAGCTGACATCAGTGGAAAGCAATTGATTGTGATGTCTTGTTTGCGTAGTTTAGCAGATTATTTTCATTCACAAATTGAAACTTCTGTGGGGCCCTTATGATTATCCCTCTCATCCAGAATTTGAATTTTAAACATAGCTTACTCAGAGACAAGTAACATTAGCATCATCAATATAAAATTAAACAAGTAAAACCGAATTGCAGAGTAAAATATATCCATCTGACCACACCAAACAAAACTTCCCATCAACCTAATATGTGGGCATTTTACAGGAGACCAAGACATTTACCAGCATAAATATATAAAAAAAAAGGTTCCTCTCTAGTATGTACTGTGGTGAAACCGGAACTAGAGACAGGAAGCAACCCATAATTTATCTAAATTAGAAACAGGCAACAGATCAGAATCATACTCTAAACAGAAGGTACAAGTGTCCAATTTTAGATCTAGGTGTGAATAAATTCTCCTTTTTACTAGTCTTGAGCAGTTGTAGCAGCTGCTTGTTGAATTCTCCGTTGATGAACATCCCAATTATACACACGAGCAATTGTAACCTGACCAAATATTGATAAACAATAAACAACTAAAACTAATTAATGTTCAGAACCCTATTAAAATTGCTTATTACCAACACACATACTCAATTACATTCATGCAAAATAAAAAAAAAGAGTGTTCCAAGTGCCTTGAATGCATCTTGTAGAGATAAGGTGTGGATGGTAGATACGAAGTTGGGAAAAATGAAAAAGAAAAGTCAGTGGAAATTATTGTATGCTCGCTTATTAAGAATACAAAGAAATAAGTGAAATGTGCCACTTTTAGCATTTTGATAGGGCCTCTGCGCCCATTGGGGGAGTGGATCAGGTTTTGGTAATGAGCCCAAATAAGCCAGCGACTTGGAGAGTTGAATCTAGAAGAAAATAGCTGAGCTGGAAAAGAGTTCGTTAGTGAGTGCCTGGTTTAGAGGAAGGAGGCGAAGGGAGCATTCTGTCTGAGCAGGGAGATCCTCTCTCTGCAGGAGCTAGGCTCTAGGTATTTTTTCTGGTGTTCTCGGTGGTTGAAAGAGCTGCAGAAGCTCATCTTCTCATACTCATTAATACGATTTAGACCCTTTCATTCTCTGGTTCTCTATCCCATTTCATCTTAGTGAGTTTTATGTATGTATTTTTCCATACTCAATTTAAGATGAATGTAAAATGTAGGTCCAACTTAAATAATTTTAATTCAAACATTCATTTACTTTTAATGGGAAAATACCAAAAATGCAAACCGAAATGGAGAACATTTTATAGTTAGCAAGCTGACCTGAGTAATTGTCACCTGGTCCCTCAAGAACTGTAGATCAGCAACAAGAACTTCTAAACTGGCTCTAGCATTATCAAGGTTCTTCTGTAGAAGACTGGTGGCCTGCAACAGAAATTTACACTCATATAGGGAAACAATTTAAAGAAATAAAAACAGCAATAACACCTAAAACTAACAAAAAAGTACCTCTTCTAATGAATATTCCAACATGACATTTGCTCCCAGCCATAAACATACAGAATCAGTTTCTTCTATGCATGCCCGTGAATATATGCCTTCTGATACTTCAAAATCAGCAATAAGTTCCTGTGTTTAAAGTCAAATATTAATCTTCTAGTTTATAACACAACTAATGTTTTCATTTGCCCTAAAATCTTTTAATAGATTATTCAAAGGGTGGCATGATATAGTTTCCCAAATGATCAAAATAAAATGTTGTTAATATACAATACAATGAGAAAATGATTTTTTATTATTATTATTTGGGGGGAGGGGGGGTTGGTGGTGGGGGCAAAGGCAATGAGGACCAATTCCCAAAAGAAATAAAAGAACGATAGCATAATTTGCAATAATTATCATAAAAGAAATTTTGACCACTCTCAAACCTTAGTTTTGACATTATATGATGTACAACACTGCATGTATGGCATTGCAATATTGTTCATTGCCAAGATATAACATCTTTTGCAATAGTGTTATTTTCTTTATTCAGGGAATAGGGGAAGGTTGCTTAATAGGAAAGCCTCAGATCTGGGAAAGGGGCAGTTTGCCATGACATAAGCACGTCCATCTAGTATGCACTACAAATGTAATATCATTTTCTGTTTTCCTAAACATAATGAGAGTTTGAGAGTAGGCCATAACGTTCAAACTTCAAACATTTGAAATTAACTTGACTCTTCATTCAAGATAAAAGTATTTGGAGATATATTTTAGTTATAAGGATGATTATAAAATAAACCATTTATTAAGCTTCATGCTTTATTATTCTTATTCTTTACTCTTGTGCACCTATTTGCAGACATGCAGAGCAATTTACATATATATTTTCAGGACAATCTCACAGATACAAGGGAAAACCTAGCAAATGATGCACAAAAGCTCGCTGGTGAACATGAGTGTCAGTCTAACATTTGTGCTCCCATTAGGTTTGTTTTGTGCATATTTATTTTTATTCCTTCATTTAGTTAATGCAGTTTTCCCAACTGGAAAACAGACAAATCTGCATAATTTTTGCACATCCTTGGTGTTCCTGGCATTCCACATTTTACATATATGAAGGCACAGGTGGTGCTGAATCCTTTAGAACATCAAGGAAAGCCAGTTATAAATGGTTCAACCCAAACTCTCAATGGCAAACTGTGGTTGGTGTAGGCAACAATCTAATGCATTTGAGCATACAATATGAAGGTGATGAAGTGCATTCAGCAGAAACATGAATACTCTTGCATGTATCTCTAGGATCGGCTGTATATTAAAAGGAAAGAGATTAATCATGGTATAAATGTTATAAGTTATTAGGGATGAACACAAAAGCAAATTCTGAGTAGCTTGAGTTGATGAATCCATTATCAGGAATAGGCAACAGACAAATTCCAATAGACAGAAAGAATTTTTCATATGGTATAAACTCAAAAACTATACACAGAAAACAAATCATAGGCACAGACAGAGATATAAAGAAAAGCCATAAAATTAGAAAATTGAAATAAGCAGCAGCATTGAAGCCTAACAATTAAATTTTGGGACATGAGCCATCAACTTCTTCGTGGAGATGAAGACACACAATCACCTATATGCTAGTTGTCAACAAGGAAAAAGGATATCACCAAACAAAGGTCATGGGCCATGGAATAAGAGCTTTAAGGAATCAGGAAGTCTTGAGGATGCATCAACATCACAAAAATGATGGCATACATTGTCAACACAACATTATATGTATTAACAGAATAAGAAGCACAGAATTTCAGATTTCAGCTGTCTAACAATAACTAATCTGACCATTAATGTATAGGCATTTTTGCAAGATATTAAGTGTAAGTATCTTTTTACCTAAATAATAACGACTACAATAATTTGTTGTAGAAAATCAGGCTTCAAACTAACCTCAGAATAAGATGCACCAAATTTCAGATTTCAGCTGTCTGACAACAGCTAATCTGATCATTAATATATAGGCATTTTTGTAAGATATTAAGTGAAAGTATGTTTTACCTAAATAATATGTACTACTATAATTTGTTATAGAAAATCAGGCTTCAAACTGACCTCACCAGTACCCTTCTTAGCTTTCAATGTACCAACAACATCTAAGCACTTCTCAATATCTGGTATCTTTGCCTGACAAATCATAAACAAAAAATGTCACCGCAGTAGGTTGATTAGATACTGAAATAAAAAGTACACACACACCAGAGAGAGAGAGAGAGAGAGAGAGAGAGAGAGTAACATTTAGATGAATCATTTTATGTTGGACTCTGTTAATCAAAATAGAATAAAAAGACAGCATATTTTTCTTGTTTTACTTGAAATTGTAAAGAGATTTCTTGTTTTAAAATTAATTTGGAATGAATCAATTAAAAAGATGATTTATTATAATTTGAATTAATTATGTTCCAGACCAGAATTCGTCTTCAAAAGTATAAAGCCTAGGCAGTTAGGAACAGCCAAATTTCAGAAAATAAGAAAACTTTGGACTGGAAAGTGCTTGTTACTTACTTGATCCTGGCCAGCCAGAGTCTAGATGGGCAAAAAAAATGTCAAATTCACACTAGCATTTTCACAAGTTAAAACTTTACTACGTGCCAATGATTCTAGCATGAAACATAATAATTTTATTCTTTTGTATTTTTAGCCCTCAATCAAAATATCAACAAAATAATAATAATATAAAAGTATGCATAAGCTTCAGTGTGGCTTCTCTAGGATAGATGATAACTGTAATCCAAAACTAAATAAGGAAATGAAACCTGAAGATCCCTCTGCTGAGCAAGAAGCTTCATTTCAACCACCTTGTACTGCTGAAGTCTGCATGATGAATATGACAGGTCATCATTCCCACAAAAACTTATAAATAAAAGCGAGACTCCCCTAACAGTATGAAATAAATTCACAGATAAATGCTTCTTTTAAGTGTGAGTATGAACTTTAGGTTTCACAAATGTCTGGTCAATGCAGCAGCAACTTTAAGACCTAGTTTCTATGTATGATTACCACAAATGTACATAGGTAGCACTTGTCGGCATTCTAAAAAGGGGATATATAGACCAGAGTAGTCAAAATCAAGATCCTACCAAGGTAGTCACACATGTTCATAATCCATATTCAATGGTCATACGTAACTCTAAAACAAGAAAAAGCAACAAGAAACAACTCATATTTCCAGACACCTGAGACACGGAGGGTGCAGTATTTTTTAGGGTGATTTAGGGATTTTGGGGGTGCAGCAACAGCAAAACCCTCACAGGTCGCAGCAGGAGCAGAACAATGTCATGGTGTGATGTGAGTTCAGAACCAGAAAAACAGCAGCACAAATAGAGAGAAAAGGATTTCTGAACAGGCTGAGTTTATTTTAGGGTCTTTGCGACTTTTGAACAAACCAAGTCAGAAAACAGGTCATGGGTCGGCAGGTCAGAAATCCTGTTTTTAAACACAGTGGGATTGACTGTGCCTACCAATCCTACGAGTCTGCACAGCAATCCTACCTGAGCTCACGCATTTGCAATCCACGTGAGCCAGCATGATACAACAGTCCAGGAGTGTAGAATCGCACGATTCTACATGCCAGCTTACAATTTTGACTACCATTATAGACTTTCTTCTCTGTTAGGTACATTTTAAAAAATAGAATAAAACAAGACCTAGGGCGTAGAAAATGGTACATTTTGGTTCCACATAAAGAGGGTAGACCTGAGGAGAACAGAATAGATAAGAACTGCAGCACTCCATTCTGTGCATGCTCCAAATGCTATCATAATGACATATTAACAATGCAAGGAGCTTCAAATTCACAAATTCCATTAGTTAAAACACAAAAATAAGGAATAACTTAATTATATGAATTGTATACTTAATGAATCTAAAGAATCACAAGTTAAGTATGGTACTTTCCAAGGCTTTGAAAGGGAATCACATCAATTTCAGTCTAAAAACCACATCAAAAACTACCTCATTCATTAATCCAACTATACATATTACAGTAACAAAAATAACAGACTATAATTCCACGTAGGCTATGAAATTTATAACAGCGGTCCAGAATTAGTAAACAAATTTATTTTTTTATCCAGAATAATTCCTCTAGATCATTCAGTAATTCCTGATTTCCAGGTAATTTCCCTCGACCATGTACAAAATCCAAACCGAAAGATTACAGCCCAAGGTTGTGCAGCCTAAAAACCATCCATATTGATCTCCTTCACCTCATATTCAGCTAAATTCGTTATCTTTGCATGAAAAAACTTCATTTATCATTTTATTATATAGACTACTCCTATGCCAAACAAACCTCACGTCCATATCTCTAATTTATGAAGGCGATTCTACAAAGAAAGGCTGAGTAGTAATGTTGCATCCAATTATCCAAACACAGTTAACACATAGATCCAATCCAAAACTATATAAATGAAAAAAGAAGCTAATTATGAAGGGAGGCAGAAGCAAATAGCAAACAGATCCTCAAAATTTAAGGTTATGAGAATGTGAAAGTGAGAACGTAAAAGAGATAACAATGAAGTTGAAGACCTTTCTTGGAGAAAAGCGAGGGCGGAACCAACATCGAGGCCTGATTGCGTGAGGTAAGTGTGGACATCTTCTACAAACTGAGCCCCTGGTATTCCTCTTCGCTCCGCCACCCCTGAACCTGACGTTGAAGAAGACGAAGAAGCCATTGTTCACAGCGCCTCTCAATCGAGCACACTACTCTTTATTACTCGTCGTTTTGTTTTGGGTCCATCCATTACTTTCAGCCCACTTCTAAGCCCACATTCTGGTTTGGTTCTCTGTTATTCCCTAATGGGCCCTACATTGGATTTCCATAAGACAAACAATCCATATTTAAAAACAATTAATCGACCAAAAACCATATTATTATAAACTCACTGGACCAAAAAATATTGCTACACTTGACAAAATAAATTTTCATATGGGCCAACTTTACCAGTATAGGGTTTGGAAACCTATTGAGAATACTTTCTATATTTGTGATTAAGTCAACATGTAAGTGTTGACCAAAAAATAAAAATAAAATGAACACAAGCAAATTTAATTCGCGTTTGTTTCAGGTTTTGCAAAATGACTTATGAGAATATGAACGTGGGAATGTATCATTTTCACGTTTGTTAAAAGTTTTAACAGTTTTTCTCTTTGGCATATTTGATTATGAGGAATGTGCTGTTATCTTCATATTTCAATTGACTTTTGTTAACATTACATTATCTGAAAGTGTTGGAAGTTATTAATTCTCAACTCTTTTCTTTCTCTTATCATTTGAATTTCAAAAATTATTTTTTAAATATTAGAATTTAATCAAACATGTTTCTTAATTTATACAAACATAGCATTCCTAGTAACAGGATTTTTAAAAATATTTTTTAAAATCAAAAGCATTCTTCATAAAATAGGATCAATGGAGATAACAAAGCTCTAAATTAAGACTTAAAGACAATTATTCTTAGGACTGTAGTTTTTCATCTTGCAACAAATGTCACTAAAGAGTATTTGCTCGTGGTTTTCTTTTTTAAAAAAAGTTTGAGAATATATAAAATTTTCAACGGATTTATCGGTTTCAAATGAGAAAAGTGGCATGTCACTTGTTTTTGGTAGTAAAGCAAGATTCGATTGTACCATTAAAAAACACACGGTGTGTTCAGGGATGCTACCCTTTGGGCCCTCCCCCCCTTTAATGGATTTCATATTCCATCATGTAAACCCGTCCAAACCTGAACCCAAGAACCCCAAAATTAAGAAAACCTGAAAAAATGACGTGTCTCAGTGCATATATTATTGACTGAAATTTATGTTGATTTCATTATATGATATGAATCTCATTCATTATTTAATAAAAATTTGTGTGGATAAACTTTTAGATAAGTCTTTTTTTCAAAAAAATTTATCCAAAAATAAAGAACCTACAAAACTAGTGAGTTGGAGAAATGTATTCTCGAGCATTTCTGTTGAACATGGATATGTATGTGTGTGTATATTTGATGAATGAGTTGAACATGTCAACATCATGGTTGGTAGCTGACTGAAGATATGTAAAGATCAAATGAGAAATGCAGAGGGATGGACCCAAAAACAGAAACTTCTATCCAGGAAAACAGAAGAATGAATGGAGTTTTTGGGGTGTCCCAACCATTTGTGTCACCAATCCAAATCCATATCATTCCTATAAAAAAAAAGGCCTTAACTGCCGAATAGTGTGTCTTACATCTCCTTTCTCAATTCATTTTGAATCGAAAATCAGTCTCAAATTTATGTAGTTGAATATATCCTAAAACCAAAAGCTCATTATTATTATTCATGTATGATTGTTCCATTATTTGCCGTAGGGTGGCTTCATGATATTGTTGGAAAATGATTAGACTTCAAATTAAAGCATAAATTTGTCCATGTCTTTGCTAACATAAGTGAATAATCTTATCTCCGGTGTTGGATTAGGTTTACATTTGTTTAATGGATATCATTTTCATTTGGACCAGGTGCTCAATTCAATGTATAGACGTAGCCTCCAAGACTAGGGAGGAAAAAGGTGTACTTAGCTCAAGATTGCTTAACGAAGACATGGGTAAGTGAGCAGGACCATAACCTAATAATTTGATGCTTTATGAGTTGCCAATGACGGCTAGTGAAACCACCATACATGAACTCTACCATCACAAATGAACCGTATATGGTTGCGCTGCCATATTCTCTATCAAAGGTTCCTCCCAAAATATTATATTAATTTGTAGATGTGATTAGAAGGGAGAAAGAATAAGGGGCACCGTTTGAATTCAATTATGTCAAAGCCTCAAAATCTTTTAGAATAATGTACTTATGCACTCCATTATCTATAGAATAAAATTTGAATAATGTTTTTATCAGCCAAATTGTAAAGATGAGTACAAGGGTACTCAACCCTTCTGAAAGCTGATAGCTACACAAGAAAAGTGATCAACATAAAAGGTTGATTATGTTTTTTTCCATAACGTTGATATTTGTAAAAGGCTAAATATGTGCACTGAACACAGAAAAGGAGAGATATCATAAATAATAATGATTAAATTCTTATAAGGCTTGTAAGAAAAATGTTTGTAATAAAAATTTTCGAGTATGTTTCCAAAACTTTTGAAGGCGTCACGATCAATAGGTCATAAGTTTAGAGAATGCTTGGACCAGAGATGAAATACAGAATAAAAAATGCTTTTGAATGAGTAAAAACAAAAAATTATTTATTTGTACTTATCTTCATGAATATAAAAGAAAGAGTGAAAAGTATAGTTAAAATTATTCAAAAGAATATTTTCACCTTCTGTATAAATTATATTAACTAATTAATGAGAGAGAGAGAAGAAATAAAATGGTTTTTTTTTTTTGCCATAAGCGATATTCTCCGTACTGAAAATCAGACCATGTGAGAACAGAAAATAAAAAAGCACGCCCCAGTAGCATACTTTTTCTCTCTCCTATAAATGATAAATTATCAAAGCCACTATACATCTTATTTTCTCTCACAAATCAATCATTTCAATTTCATTCATTGATATTAATTTGAGAGTTGACTCCAATAAAGAAGAAATAGCAAGATAAATATTTTATCTTTACCTAAAAAATTAAAACATTTTTTTTATAAAAATAAATAAAATATTAATTTTATATTAAGGTAAAATTAATATTTTTTGTTTTTGATTTTTTAAATTTTTTATTTCAATTTAGTTTTTATTTTTATTTTTCCTTAAATTTCACAAAAAAACTTTGCAAAATTATATTTATTTTGTAAAATGAGAGATGAAATGAAGATTTAAAATCAAAGACTAAAACAATGAATAATTATAATCTTAAGAACAAGTTTACAAATAGAAAATTTTCATTAAAAAAATATTATATTTAATGTTCTTAATTCGTTAAATGTGTAATATTTTATAATTTTCAATAAAAAATTTATTATGTATAAGTTTTTATTACGTGTCTGAGTACAGATTAAAAACAATTAAATCATGATTTATTGTTCTATTAACATTTATTTATCTCATTTATTTATCAAATAACGAATTAAAAATCTTACTTTTTATTTCATAAAAATAAATACTAATCAACGATATTTTTGATTGAGAAATTAAGCATAATTTTTATGAGAGTATATTATGAAACATAACGGGCCACTGGGGCCAGCTAGTTAGATGGTTTACTAATTCCAACATAGTTAGTCAGTTATCTATTTGATTAGGTTGTCCTGCTTGTCTTGCTACTTTTTTTTATATATAAATAGTGCTTCATCTCAGTTTTAATATTATCAGAATAATAAATCAGTTTCTTACTAAATTCTTGCAAATTTTAAAAAAAATTATTAATAATATTACTAATATTCTTCAATTATAATTTTTATAGTATTCATCAATAACCTATCATAAAATACCTAAATGAAAGTTAGGTAATTTTATTTTATGTCATCATCATATCCTTTGGAATCCTTTTTTATTTTCATTTCATGAAAACCAAGTATTAGAACATAGCATTTCTCAGATGGGCTGTTAGGCTTCAATATAAAGCTAATAAAATAGATTGTCTACCTCATTCGAGGCTAACAATAAACTTTAATAATCAAGTTAAATATACTTAAATTTAATTTACTCATAAAATCATGCTTAAGTCTAATAAAAGTTTAATTTTATGAAATTTTTGCAGGTTAAAAATATAAAATTCGAATTTTATATTTTGTTGGATGAATTTTAGATTTTTCTTCACATGAACATGCACTTGTCCTCTGGGAAACTGACATTTGCTATATAATTCTTTTCGACATGTTTGCTCCTTTCTCAAAAGCTACATAATCCATGCACAAGAGAAATTATTGAAAGGAAATCATTATCTCAATTTTCACCATAATAGTAATAGATTTAAGTTGTCAAAAATTAAAAAGAAAATGTTTATTGTATCATTAAAAGTAGACATCTTTAAATATATATATATTTTTGAGATATATGTATGTAGAAAAAGCAACTAATCATGGAAAAGAATATACAAAACATGGAAAAGAAAAGACTATTATTATTTGGAATGTTGAGGGATAAATTGAGAGAACTTTGGGGACAAATGAAATTACTAAAACTGCCCACAAAATACTACCAATAATAATAGATTGAAGAGGTTGACGGCAACAACTTATATTGTCAAATTGTCATTGCATTAAGTTTGTCAATTAATTGTAGCCAATACAAAGTGACTATGAATTGGATCAAAAAAAGTAGTTTGGCCACTTAAAAGGATAAGATGGAAAACAGGGCCAATCAACTTGTTCACAAAATCACAAAACATAATAATCATGCAACTAATCATCTTAAGTAAGATACAGCTCTTATCCTACCTATAGAAAATGATGTATGGCACCCCAATTGAGTGTCATAAATCGATTAATATATCTATATATAAAGAGACCGAAATAGATAATGAGATTATATATGGCACTGCATGTGAGGTTACCAAAATTTAAAATAAATAAATAAAATTTATTTTTAGTTTTTTTTTGTTGAAAAAATAGTTAAAAACACCACAATACTCTTGTGTGTGTGTATATATATATATTCCCTGTATTTACTTATTTTATTTGTTTACTCTTTTGGTTGATGCTGTGATGCACAGTAGAAAGCAACATTTAAGCAAAGATAATGATATTTAATCATGATCGACAACG